AGCTTTAGCTGCAGCAGCATAACTGCCTCTTACAGCAATAAATGAGCTTATGAACTTTTGGCAGTGCTCCTCCACTTGAGGCAACTTCCTTTTAAAACTAAGACTAGCCTTAAACTCTGTAATGAACTTTTCCATGCTACAAGTCTCTCTGACTTCATCACTAATAAGATGAGCTGTATATAACTGACTCGCAAGATCTGAGAGAGACGTCTTAGGCAACGAATTGAGTGCAACATGAGATACAAGAACATCACTGATCTCTTTCTTTACTTTATTGACATCAATAGTAGCTGATGATCCTAATAGAGGTCAAAGGTCAGTATACACACACAGTATTATCACTTACTAGCTCCTCCAGTGGATGAAACTAATGTTGATTCATGTACTACATTAGAGGAGGAGGAGGAGGAGGATTAATATTAAATAAATAAACAATTTATTGTCTATTACTTGTTGAAGGAGCCATTCTCAATGTTCTATGAATAAATAATGTAACAGGTTCAGCCACACCCACCAGTGGTACGGAGTAATGTAGTGTAGGAACAGCATCAGGTGACCCATACACTGATACCAGACAAGATGGAGGATCAGAAACATTACCTTCACCAAACTTATCAACATCACAACGTAGAAACTATTAATATACACATACCAACCATCAGTTATACATTATATTACAGTACTTACTCTACAAGGCTTAAGGTGAGGCTCAATACTCCAACCAGTGAATGGTTTTTTTTGAGGTGCATAAAAATTTAATTCCATGCATCCATCAATATTTTTGATACGAAATTGACAACCTTGCCCTTCTTCAGCATTAGAATAGGATTTTTTGCTAAACTACAAACAAAATTACGATATTTATAATTATAAGTATACCTAAAAAACAGAGTTACCTCAGAAAGTGCATTGAGATCTTTAGCAGCAATAAATATTACTAAATCTTTAGCTCCTTTCTCCTCATAATAAAGCTGTCCAGCGTAAGCAATGTTCTCTTCTATACCAGTGAAAACTACAGCTTTATCTATACACAAAAATTATACTAATTATTATTCATTGTGTTGATGTACATGTACTTACTGTTAACATCTGAACTAATCTCAGTACAAGGTATTGGAGCAATTGCTTCTTCATGCTGTGGTTCTTCACGATCCTTTGACTCTTCTACTCTTTCATCTTGCTCTTCATTTCCTTTCTCATGTAATGGCTGACCTCCAGTCTCCCCCTCTTCCTCTACTCCCTCATTACTAGTAGACTCTCCTACATTGTATATTAGTAACACGGTAGCGTTACTAAGTAGGATTCACCCCACTTCAAAATGGCTGCCACGACTTTTGCTATACCGTATACGTTCAAATTTTCGAGGGTTCAAAATTTCATGTTTTCAATGAAATTTGCTCAGAAGTTAATATTTGTGTGAGCTAATTTTCGTGTTCTGGCCATAGTCTACATACAATAGAATGGCATTAGAGGTGGTTTAAATTTCGTGGATTTAAGGTGAGAACGAAAATAACGAAATTTAATATGCCTCAAAAATTAAGACGCATACGGTATCCATTAGATACAGGATTTATCATTTTGTGGACCTTAGTAAAACTCCGGTTTTTAGCAGACAATCAATATAAATATGACAAATGTGCATCACTGAGGCAGCAGGTACCTGGTGGCTCAGTGGGGAAGGTGTGTGGCTGGTGCACTGGTTTAAATCCAGCAATGCTCTTTTTTTAATTTTTTTTTACTAC